ACATCAAAAGAATGGAAAGACTTCAAATAAATGACCTAATGTTATGCCTCAAAGAACTTGAAAAGCAACAACAATCCAAATCTAAAGATAGTACATGGAAAGAAATAACTAAGATCAGAGCAGAACTAAACGAAATAGAGACCCAGAAAACAATAGAAAAGATCAACGAAACAAAAAGTTGGTTTTTTTAGAAGATACATAAAAAAAGACAAGCCATTAGCTAGGTTTAGAAAAAAAAGGAGAGAGAAGATCCAAATAATAAAAATCAGAAATGAAAAGGGAGACCTTACAACTGACACCACAGAAATACAAAGAACCATTAGAGAATATTATAAACGATTGTATGACAACAAATATGAAAATCTGGATGATATGAATAAGTTTCTAGACACATACAAACTACCAAGACTGAACCAAGAAGAGATAGAAAAGCTGAACAGACCAATAACAAGCAACAAGATTGAAGCAGTAATCAGCAATCTTCCAATAAAGAAAAGTTCAGGTCCAGATAGCTTTACAGCCAAATTCTATCAACTTTTAAAGAGGAGTTAATACCAATTCTCCTCAAACTATTCCAAAAACTTAAAGCCAAAGCTGCTCTCCCAAACTCATTCTACGAAGCCAACATAACTCTAATACCAAAACCAGATAAAGACACAACAAAAAAAGAAAATTACAGGCCAATATCCTTGATGAACATAGATGCAAAAATCCTCAACAAAATATTAGCAATCAGAATACAGCAACACATCAAAAAAATTATACACCATGATCAAGTGGGATTCATCCCAGAGATGCTAAAATGGTTCAACATAGGAAAGTCAATAAATGTGATACATCACATCAACAAACTCAAGGACAAAGACCATATGATTATCTCAATAGACACTGAAAAAGCATTTGACAAAATTTAACATCCCTTCATGACATAGACTCTCAACAAATTAGATATAGAAGGAAAGTACTCAACACAATAAAAGCCATCTATGACAAGCCCACTGCCAGTATCATTCTGAATGGGGAAAAACTGAGGGCCTTTCCTTTAAGAACAGGAACAAGACAAGAATGCCCACTGTGACCACTTCTGTTTAATATAGTGCTGGAAGTACTAGCCAGAGCAATTGGGCAAGAGAAAGAAATAAAGGGAATCCAGATTGGAAAAGATGAAGTCAAACTGTCTCTATCTGCAGATGACATGATACTATATATAGAAAAACCTAAAGACTCTATCAAAAAACTCCTAGAGCTGGTTAATAACTTCAGTAACATTGCAGGATACAAAATAAATGCCCCCAAATCAGTTGCATTTATATACTCAAATAATGAACTAACCGAAAGAGAAATAAAGAAAGTAAACCCATTTACAATTGTCATAAAAAAATAAAATACCTGGGAATCAAATTAACCAAGGAAGTAAAAGACCCCCACAATAACTACAAACCACTTCTAAAGGAAATTAAAGAAGATATAAAAAGATGAAAAGATATTCCACGCTCTTGGATTGGAAGAATTAACATTGTGAAAATGTCTATACTACCCAAAGAGATCTACAGATTCAATGCAATTCCCATCAATATGCCAAAGACATTCTTCACAGAAATGGAAAAAGAAGATATAAAAAGATGAAAAGATATTCCACGCTCTTGGATTGGAAGAATTAACATTGTGAAAATGTCTATACTACCCAAAGAGATCTACAGATTCAATGCAATTCCCATCAATATGCCAAAGACATTCTTCACAGAAATGGAAAAAACAACCTTAACTTTCATATGGAACAACAAAAGACCACAAATAGCCAAAGCAATCCTGAGCAAAAAAATATAAAGCCAGCGGCATTACACTACCTGCCTTCAAATTATACTACAAAGCTATTGTGACCAAAACAGCATGGTACTGGTGTAAAAATAGACACTCAGAACAATGAACAGAATTGAGAACCCAGAAATCACCACTCAGGCTTATAACCTCCTGATATTGGACAAAGGCAACAAATATCTACATTGTGGAAAAGACTGCCTCTTCAACAAGTGGTACAGGCAAAATTGGATATCCATATGTAGAAGAATGAAACTAGACATGCACCTCTAACCATATACTAAAATCAACTCAAAATGGGTTAAAGGCTTAAGTATAAGACCTGAAATGGTAAAATTACTAAGGGAAAAAATAGGTGAAACACTTCAGCAATTAGGTCTGAGCACAGACTTTATGAACATGAGCCCAAAGCACAAGCAGCAAAAGAAAAAATAAACAAATGGGACTACATCCAACTAAAAAGCTTCTGCACAGCAAAGGAAACAATCCACAGAGTGAAATGACAGCCTACAGAGTGGGAGAAAACTTTTACTAACTATGCATCCAACAAGGGACTAATATCCATAATATACAAGGAACTCAAGCAATTACACAGTAAAAAAACAAACAACCCAATTAAAAAATGGGCAAAGGAGCTGAATAGACATTTTTCAAAGGAAGATATACAAATGGCCAATGGGTACATGGAAAAATGCTCAACATCACTAGTTACCAGGGAAATGCAAATTAAAACTACATTAAGATACCATCTCACCCCAGTTAGACTGGCTATAATAAAAAAGATGGTGAATAACAAATGCTGACGAGGGTGTGGAGAGAAAGGAATGCTCCTGCACTGTTCGTTGGACTGTAAATTAGTACAACCACTACAGAAAACAGTATGGAGATTGCTCAAACAACTACAGATATATCTTCCATATGATCCAGCAATCCTGCTTCTGAATATATTCCCAGAAGAATGGAAATCACCATGTTGAAGGGACACCTGCACTCCCATGTTCATCACAGCTCTGTTTACAATAGCCAAGACATGGAATCAACCTAAATATCCATCGATTGATGATTAGATAAGGAAACTGTGGTATACATACACCATGGAATACTACTCTGCCATAAAAAAGAATGAAATTCTCCCATTTGCAACTACATGGATGAGCCTGGAGAAACGTATGTTGAGTGAAATAAGCAAAGCACAGAGGGATAAATATCGCATATACTCACTCATAACTGTGAGCTAAGAGAGAGAGAAGGAAGGAAAGAAAGTCCAGACTGGTGCATTGGACTTGCAGAGGGAGAGAACATACCTAGGGATACAAAGTGGAGTGGGGGGAAGGGGGAGGGAACTGGGGGATAATTGGGTGGGGGACACGGGGTACAAACATGATTTGTGGTGAGGTACATGCTGCCAGTATGGATCTGGCCTTCATATCTTGGGCACGAGGGGTGACAATCAGCTTTGTATCTCATGAATATTTATAACCAATTTAAAAAAAGCAATGTTATCTAACCCTTCTTTTCTTCTGCATTTATACTGTTAGTAAGAATACATTTTAAAAACATCTCTATTGGTAACTGGTATTTCATGCTTTTTAGTTGCTGCCTGGGCCTTGACTCAATTCTTTCTACTAGTGGTTTTATGTTTTTCCTGATTTATAAAAATTCATTACCTCTGAGAGCTAGTAAATTTTTCAATCATCACATGTAAGATGAGTATTTTTCCTAAATTAGTCATCTGCACTTTTACTTTATGATTTTTTGATAATAATTTTTTTAAAAATTTCATATAGTCAAGTCCATCAAAATTCCGTCTTATGGTTTATGTGTTTTTTGTTGTATATCTCTCTTTAGGATTATGCAGTCATATTTATTTCCTCCTACCACTTTTACATTTTTAATCTTTACATTTACATCTACTATACATTTAGAGGCCACAATTAAAATCGTACTATAACTTCTTCAGAAATCACATAAAATATATAAAATCAATCTGATCCTACAAAATGGGTTTACTTATCCCAAAGTACACTTTTAGCTCTTTGAGAATTATTCATGAAATAGTCATTGGTTCCACTCAGTTAGCTCATTATTTGGCATATAGTAGGCACTTGATTCAGTGAATTTTGTGTGGTAAACACATACTAATGCCTCTAAAAACTGAGCAAGACAATATATGGTTAAAAGGGTATTTTTAGAGCCATTAATACAATAGCAACACGTGGGATAAACAGAGGTTGAGAGCAAGTGAGAGAAAAAGTAGATTTAATAGTAGTCTGTTGCAAAATCTAGACTTCACTGAATGGGCCTATACTGGGGGATGATTATAAAATTGTCAAGGGAAGGTCAAACCAAGATGGCATTATAAACCTGCTGAAGGACTAAGTGAATCAAAGTTCCAAAGACAGAAATCAGGGAGGTGAGAAGGCAATACGGCAGAGTGGGGACCAAGGTGGTGGTTTCGGTATGAAACATACTGAAATTATTATTGGTGGCACAGCCAATTAGGGCTGTCTTACACATCATCAAAGGTACTGGACTGGGCACACAGCTAAGTGGGCACGAGGAAGCAGGAAAGCAAAACAACCTCTGCAGATTACACATATAGAATTAGACACCACGCTATGTGTTTCACTCATTGAGTCGAAATCTGTATTCCAGAGTCTTCCACATATTGTAATGATAGACAGAAAAAGAATGACACAGAGATTGGCTAGATCCTAGCTCCACCACTGGTAGCTTATGCAGACCTTGGACAGCTTCCTCATCCTCTCTGTAAACCTTGGTTTCGTCATCTAAGAAATGAGGATAATAACAATGCCTACCTCAAGGAACCAGAGTAAATGATATAATTCATAAAAAGTAGGCAGCGTGGTGCCTAAAATATAATAAAATGCAATAAAGAGTTGTCCGATAGTAAAAGAAAACAAAAACAAACAAACAAACAAAAAAACCCACAGAATTTGAGGCTTTGGGATAGTCCATATTAAGGGACAGGAGATTTAGAGATCAAAAGGTATAAAAGGAAATTGGAGAAAACCTTGAAAACACAATGTTAAAACCATAGGGGCCAAGGATTTCAAAGAAGGAGCTATTTAATCATATTTAGTCATGAGGATAGAGAAACGGACCATTCAGCCCTGACTGTTCTTCATATATGAAAAGCAAATTTGGACAGTCTTACATACCCAAAGTTGGTCATCCATGCCTGGTGGGTTCTTTTTGATAAAAGCACCATAGTACGTAGCAATATTCCGGTGATGAGAATATTTCTTCAGCATGTTAATTTCTTGTTTGATTTCTTCCTCTTCATCCTGTATTAGAACAATAAATATCCTTTCATGAAAATTCATTGTCTTTAGTAGGATTCTGTTCTTCAGTATCACCTTAGTAATATGTTCTTAAGGTTTTTCTTCCATGGTGATAAAGGAGCATAATTATTATATCTAACTACAAAGAAATAGTTTATAAGACAACACATTGGTAGTCCAAAGGGGTCTTCTATTCGTACAACAAACAGGCATAACACAATCTGCTGGGGAAATAAAAGAAATCTCATCTCTCCACCTGGAAGAGATCCAGGCAGACGGGCTATTGAGATAAAATCCATGCAGGCCTCTGGAAACTATGTCCATCCATATCTGGTATAGGACAGATTGAAGAAAGTGGGGGAAAAAACAAAACATAGGCTCTCAGATTTAAATATTGTTAGGTTCATTTTCTTTGGAGCCTACTTTTATTCAAGTGTCTGACTGAAGATGATGAAAGTCAGATGGGAAAAGGGAGCAAGGTAAATTCTCTAGATCTGAGGAAGTTCACAGTGCGGGAGTACCCACGTCATCTTCAGGAAACTAAACATGAAAAGAAAGGAGGAGACGTGGTGGTGTGGAGGAGGTAAAAAGAGACAACTGTCCTACAGAGTTAGTTTCCTAATGTCCAGGTTTCATTCATTCTGAGTCTCACTTTGGTCAACCAGCCTGGACCTTTTGTAGAGGTCCTGTCGATACTGGTGGAGAGTGTGTGTCCTCCTACAATTTAATTTCATCGATGTGTATACATCGATTGAACTAAAAAAATAGCATTTTATTTTTCAGATTCATGGAAAAAGTTTCAATCCCAAGATAATTGCTGCTTTAGATGCAGCAGTAGGGAATGACTATCCCTGAGCATGAGACGTTACATTACAATGACCTGAAAGACCGCCCACGGTGTGTGCCCTGTCTGTCCTCTCATCCCCGCCAGCTGCACAGCCTCTTTCCAGTGTCTCTGCATCACTGGGCCCGTCTGCAGTCTCCCATGCGACGTCTTCTTTTCCCCTCCTCTTCCTACTCATCATTCCTGATCGAGTGTAATTGACACTCCCCAGGGATGTCTTCCCTAATTCTCTACGGCAATGTCAAGTCTCCCCCACTAAATCTTGTCATAGTTCCCTACACTCCTTCACACACTCCCACTGGGATGAAAGTTTGTGTAGTAATTGCCCTGCTGGTTACTTGGTTCTGTTGCCACAGATTGTGAGCTTTCCTCTGCCTTCAGTCTCAGCTCCAGAGTTCCTTCCCCAGCAAAGCTCCCTGATCTGCTGCTGTGGTTCCAGCCCCCTGGATCATCATGTGGCTCCTCCCTTGTGGCACCTATGAGAACTGCCATCCACACTCATCATTCCATTAAGGTCTCTCTTCCTTATCAGTCCTTAACAACCATAGACACAAGAACCCTGCCTGCTTTTGCTCCCTATAACATCCCCAGCACCAAGCAAAGTGCCTGTGAATACATGGGAATAAAAGAATAAATCCCTGGGACAAGCCCAATGCCTTGAACAGCATGAGTGATGTAAGAAGGAGCACATGAGAATAGGGTGAGGGCAGTGATGAAATGCTGACATGTCCTGACCACACAAAAATGTTTCAGTGACAAAACAATGGAGATTTGCAAACCTAAACTAAAGCATGTTACACACCACTTGGCTTAACAAATGGAAGACTAGGTGATCTCAAAATAGAACATACAATTGGGACATTGAGCTACGGAGAAGCACGTGGCCCTTAACAGTAAGGAAGGCCATGGAGGGGTGAGGGCTGGGTGGCGGCTGGGGCAGGGAAGGCACACTGCTGACCCACGCATCCTTCCCTGCAGCTAAGGAAGGTGCCCATGCATTCCCCACTAGCCCCTGGAGAGAATGACCTTCACAGACCTTCAACCTGCTGAAGGGTCCCTGCAGTGCACCTCAAATGTCTTACTCTATTGCATATGAGCTATTTTAATCTTGCCTTGCAGGGCCAAATAATCGTGGATGAATGTAGGATGTGAGCGGATGTGCTCTGGGGAAGTCTAAATAGAAGGAGAGAAAACCAACCAGTGGGTTTCTGTGGGCAGCATGGCATTGACAGCTGCCTCAATCAAAAAGGCAACTGGGTGAGGTAATGAAAGACACAGATCATTTTCCAACAGCAGCCTGACAGTTTCAGCACCAGTCACCCTCAGTGAGAAGTCAGGCTGCTTCTACACGTATTTACTGCCAGCTGCCTGGGTTCTCAGCAGGATGGTAGGGGATGTGGGAGAAAAAGTGGTGATGGAGAGGGGACTGCCTAAAAAAAGCTTACCGTGTCATTAAGAAAATAAGAAAGCATGAAACAGTTAAATAACAGCATAACTCAGTATGTAATTAAATTCGGAATAAATAGTACTGGAGGTAAGAATGAAGTCAGCTCATTCTCCATCAGTTTGCAAAGGTAAACTGAGGCAATATGAGGATGAGGAAAGCATATGCGTTGAGTCTGGGGTCAGAAAGATGAGGGCAGGCAGGAGGGGTGCGTGCTGAGTTTGGGCTCCACCCCTTTCTGGCTGTGAGATCTCAGGAAAGTAACCTGGCTTTTTGAAGCCTAAGTTTTCTTATCTATAATGAGAAACAGATATCATAAGTCCCATTTTTGGGGGGATAATTAAAAGAAGTATGTGAAAATTAAAAAGTATAATACAAAATAAACATTATTATTAATCTTCTCAATCAAAAAATAAAAACAAGGATAGGAGGGCAGAATGTAGGTCACATGAATTTTAGGTTTAACTTGAGCTGTTTCCAAACACAATTATGGCACCACTCTGAGTCATGGTGATGTGGCTCTAACATACAACCTTGATCTTGATCTGGCGCGGCCTTGTAAGTGAGCATGCAATTCATCAAGCATTCAGGGCTATTGTTTATCCAGATTTCTAGTCCAGGGCACTGATGGCAGTAAGTCATTCAGTGAAATAGAAGGAAGCTGTAAGTGAGCATGCAATTCATCAAGCATTCAGGGCTATTGCTTATCCAGATTTCTAGTCCAGGGCACTGATGGCAGTAAGTCATTCAGTGAAATAGAAGGAAGGCTCTCACTAGTGACGAGAGCTCATTTAACCGTGCCATGAACAGTCCAGCTTCTCACAATATGGCCCTTGGAGGAAGGTGAGTTATGATGCTTTCAAAAAGACAAAGAGAGCAACTGAGGCTAGAACTAGAGTAAGATGTTATCAGAGAGGGATGTCCTCTATTTTGTCAACTTATTATTCATGTATCTTAAATATTAAGCACAGGGATCAAGCTCACTGAGAAATTAATGACCACTGGGTCATAATGAAAAATAAAGTAGTGGTACCAAAATTGTCACAAATGTAAAAAGAGAGTAATTTCAATAAGCCAAGTCTGGTAGTCTAGGATAAAGCATTACTTTAATCAGAAGACTTCACAATCTAGTCTGATTCATTATATCAACCTCAGGCATGGCATTTAAGCTCTGAACGCCACTTACTTTCAGCTGTAAATGGGAACAAGAAGCCTATTTAAGCCACCTCTTTGGGCTTAGAAATGATTAAGTGCTTATTTAAACATAGCTTTAGTATCAACACAAAGATGATTTTTTTTTCCCCTCAAGATCATGGGAATCTATTTATTGCTTACGATCTGTTGTAGACTGAAAAAAAAAATGGCCATGATATTTAGCCACCTCCCATCAAGAGACGAGTCCATTTCTATTTTTCTTAAAGCTGGGCTTCGCCAACGGGACACTAGCAAATGTGATGCAACTCAGGCCTGAAGAGGGCTGGCCCTCTCCTACTGCTTGCAGAGAACCCTTCCGCCACAGTGTGAAAAACCAGGACTGGCCTCCTGCAAAATAAGCCACGTGAAGAGACTGCAGTTTTCAAGTGCAAAGAAATGGATGATTCCAGGTGACACTTTTAAGCCACTGACCACCACTGATGACAATATGATGATCATGACCGAGGTCATAAAACATAGCCAAAGCCAACCTTATGTCCTGTTCACTATGTAGCAGGAGCTGTGTGTGCAGTATCTTACTTAATACTCAAAACAGCTCTATGAAGAAGGTGTTTTTAATGATCTCGTTTTACAAATGAGGAAAATAAGTCTCAGAAAGGTTAAGTAACTTCCCCCAAATTCACTCATCTTTTAAATGTTAGAGCTCATATTCAACCCCAGATTTGTCTGACTGCAGAGCTAGTACTCTCAGTTCTAAAGAAAACTAGGCAGAAGAAGCACGGTTACCCATGGTGACTAAAACCAAAGCTGCTAATATAATGAGTTTAGCAACATCTTAAGCCAGGGTTGAAGAGAATCCTGACTTTGGTCCTCCAATTAAAGGAGCTCATTAGCATATGATAATATTTGCTCATGATTGATTTCAAAGGATAAAAGAGGGATTTTTAAGTTGCATATTTATTACACAAGGGAACACATTTTAAGTACCTGCAATTTGCTATGATTTGAAAATGGAATTAATAAGACATTTAATATTAGTGTGCTCTGTAACAAAGAGGCTGTCCAACATTTAACTTTCAATTCATGGACTGGAAATAAAACTACGTAATTCCTATAATAATCCAAGGGACTGGTCAGTATGAAGTCTAGAGGGAGTGTGAGATGTAGATACTCATAAATGTCACTACCCTCAGATGTGCACACACTGGGACACCAGCTAGAACCACGTCTGCTCCTGCTTACCTGTCCTTTCATAGCAGCTGTTGCCATTAGGCAGGTGTTTGTGTTAACGTTTCTATCATTTTCAATTTCATTGTTGACGGAGTGTGACAAAAAGTTGAAGGCAATTTATTGTTAAAGAATCATAGACTACTAGAATTTGAAGTGATACTTTTTATCATCTAGGATGTGGTTTAAAATTTTTTTTTAAATTTGTACTAGCGAAGTCCCTCCCTCCAATAGAAATTTTATTCAGGATGTCAATATACAGCAGACAAAACTTAAATTTTTAAAATCGGTAAACACTTATTTTTATGTTAACTACGTAATATCTATCTAGCC